CACACACACACACACACACACACACACACACACACACACTCACACACACACACATACACACACACCGTATACGTGTACCGACACTCGCACACATAGCTACACATACAGCTACACACACAAACACACACACACACACACACACACACACATAAACACGCGCGCACATTGATACCGCAAAAGGACTCATAATCTCTCTTTATCATAATCATAATTATATATTCATTTTATTTACCAACATAACAAATTCCAATCTTATGTCCGTAAAAACACGAAAACAGTTTAGGATATCATCATCATCATCATCATCATCATCATCATCATCATCATCATCATCATCATCATCATCATTATCGTCATCAGGAAGATGTCAAACATATGCATATGAATGTCCAGGAACAATGGCAATTCGAATGGGCTTATTTGGACGAGCCGAGGTGCCTCTAAGTATTTTGACAATGGAGCCGAAAAAGTGCCTCGCTCTCGCTCAGAGATTTACTCGTGGAGTCCACCAGACCCATTAAGGAAACAAAACAAAAATATGATGATAATGATGATGATAATAATAATAATAATAATAATAATAATAATAATAATAATAATAATAATAATGATAATGATTATGATAATGATAATGATAATGATAATAATAGCTATGTTAATATTTTTTTTAAACTGACGTTGTATGTCCTAGCAACAGCAGAAACGCCTGAAGCGTGCCGGTGGCTCGAATTTAACCTACTATCTTTCTTGGGTGACAATGATCACGACATGGCAGTTATTTACGGATTTTGATAAACACAGACCTACATTTAATTTTTTGAAAAAACACAGACCTACATTTAATTTTTTGAAAAAACACAGACCTACATTTAATTTTTTTTTTAAACACACAAAAAATGTTGTTTTTTAAGTGGTCGGGGATCATATTCAAAAGTTTCCCTAAGTAGGCCTACAGCACAGCACTTGAAAGAATGCGAAAAGACAAACCCCCCCCCCCCCCACCCCTTCCTCCCCGCAAGGTTAAAGTCCGTGAAAATCATTCCTGAGATTCCAGACCCGTAGCTGTATATAATTTAGAGGATATGACGTAAGCTTTCATTAAATTAGGAAAGCAGAAGTGGGATGCGGGAAACGTGGGCAGACGTCAGGAATTGATTGTCAGAACTCAGGGGAGGTTACCAAATTTTAACCCCTTACAACCTAAAAGGCTGAGCGACATGTTCTGATAGAACATCTTGGGGAGTCTTTTCTGTTCAAGCTTAATATCTGCGTTAGTCTGAGGAAATAAGATGAGATGAGACAAGATGGGGTACGATAAGATACAATTTATCTGATTTGCAGTAAGAGAAATTTGCTGCAGTATGGTAAATACATACACGCAAACGCTTTTGGAAACACACACGAACACACGCGCGCGCACGCACACACACACACACACACACACACACACACATTCCCACACACACACACACACACACACACACACACTCACACTCCCAAACATACAAACACACACACACACACACACACACACACACACACACATATACACACACACGCACACACGCATGCATATTCACACACACACACATACTCTCTGTCTCTGTCTCTCTCTCTTTCTCTTTCTTTCTCTCTCTCTCTCTCTCTCTCTCTCTCTCTCTCTCTCTCTCTCTCTCTCTCGCTTTCTCTCTCTCTCTAATCTAATAAAAATCAATTTAAAAAAACCAAATGGCTGTTCTGCAGAAAAACAACAACAACAACAACAACAACAACAACAACAACAACACTACAACATCAACAACAACAACAACAACAACAACACTACAACATCAACAACATCAACAACAACAACAACAACAACATCAACAACAACACTACAACATCATGCCTATATTACTGACAACAAAGTGAAAGAACACAAAATTGAAGTGATGTAGAAATCTAAGTACTCACGATCTTCAGTGGCCGTGCTTTACATTGTGTCTTTGTGTACGCT